GATGGTGTTCTGAAGGGAGCTTCTCTACCACTGGTGGAACGAGAAGGGTGAGAAGAGGTATTTTTTTCCTCGAGTGGATCCACTACGATTGGAGTAGAGGGCTAGATTATCATTTGTAGTTGTATCCTTCAACAATTCATTGTGTATATTAATCTCCTCGTTTGCATAGAAGTGAGCATAGAATGTCTAGACTGATGGGATGTAGGGAAGTGCGGATCATTGTTTTGAAGGAGCTATAGGTTGATGCAATCCATTGAGAATGTACAGACTGATATCCTCTGAATTAATGTGGGAGCCTTTGGCTGCAATGTTGTCTACTGATGCTTTGATTTGTGATAGGTATTTTGTCATAGTATTAATTGTCTCGCATTTGTATATTGTGAAGTTCGCTCTTGAGCTGAATGACCCCAGATCTATTTGTGGGTTGAAGGCATTTCTCAAAGGTAGTCCGTATCTCGTGAGCCGTAGTGAGATATATGATGTACGGTAAAACAAAGGAGGAAATAGTACATAATAGGGACGGCACAAGATTTTGATCAATGAGATGCCATAGGCGATGATCGTTGTTGGTGGAGTTCGGGGAAGGCTCGGGATGGCAAACTTGTTACCCTATAAGGTATCCTTCAAACCAGTTTGCAGAGAATAGTTTATAGATTTGAAGTCTCTAGATCACGTAGTTCTCATTGTTGAGTTGTATGTTGACTATGAGTTTGAGATTGGATATGAGGAACTTGACAGGAAATGGTATAGTGAATTCTGCCATAGAGGTGGATAGTGATGAGGTGGGTTGAGTGGGTGAGGATTCTTGATCTTCCATTGGCCATTGGAGATGAAGAGTGAAGAAGCAATGAAGCTCACGACTCTGATACCATAAATAAAGACCTACACTGAGGTTAGAGAAGTAAAGGAAGAAGATAGAACAAGCTTATTGAAATTGTAACATCAGTATTTCTCATGGATTTTAGTCATTACAGAGTTTGTAAATATGTAGAGGTATAACATACAAGTTGGTTGGAGAATGTCAGAGTTGCCGTTGGTGGTCGTCTACGATTGCAGAGAAGGCGGAGCAATAACGGTGAGCTGAGGTAAGTGGTCCGCGATGAGCTATGGGTATGGCATTGCATCTTATAGTCCGTGTGCGCTAACGCATTGATCCTCTAATTCGCTGCTGAATGCTGATAGCTCCAAAGCTTTATAAAACAATAATAAATAATAAATGCTAAAATATTCATTAAGACTTTAAGAAAAAGTTAAATTTGACTATTTGAGGAAAATATTCATAGGCTCAATGTATGATTTAGATCCTTCAAATCAAGCCAAATATAACAAGTCAATCCAGTCCCACTAGTAGGGATGTCAATTTTTGACACGACCCGAATCCGAAACGGGTCGGATTCGGGTTGAACAAATCAACCCGTTTTAAAAATCAAGTCAGGTTCGGGTTGACCCAGCAACCCGAAATTGACCCTAAAGTGACACGAAAACTCATATTTGACCCGAAAACCCGAGGTTGACCCGATTTTGACCCGAAAATTGAATATTGACCCGGTTTTGACCCAAAAATTAACAATTTTAACTCAAATTCGAGTCATTTGTGTAGGGTCGAGTTGACCCGGACCTGAATCGAGTCAGGTTCGGGTCTGAAAACTTGACCCGTTTTTAAAAACAGGTCGGGTTCGAGTTGACCCGAACAATGCCGGGTCAATTCCGGGTTGGACCTGAACCCGACCCGCTGACCCGAATTGACACCCCTACCCATTAGTCTCTTGGTTGCCATATTCAAATAGAACTCGCCCAACCGAGCCGATGACTTATTTCTATCAAGTTAAATAATTCTTCCAACCAAGTCAGCGACACCGAATCTACTAGGTGATTTTCTCTAGCCAAGCCAACTTTTCAAATCAAGTAGATGTTTTCTTTGAATTACGGCCTCATTTGGAATATTTTTCTTGCTATTTTCTAAAACAACTTTAAAATATAAAAAAATTTTAAACTAAAAATTTTTATATTAAAAAACTGTTTTAAAAAATAATAAAAAAATCCCGAATAAAACCTATGTTGACAGGTTCTCTCAACTCAAGGCCCGACTTTCAGGCACGACGTCTTCATCTGAGGCCCTCACCTTCTCCAGAGGCCTTCACCCTCGCTAGAGGCCCTCACCTTCGCCAAAGGCCCTGTCCTCCGCCGGACTAGCACCTGACGCCGTGGCTTTGTCGAAACACCACCTGAGGCTTGAACTTCTGCTAGGCCACTACCTGACGTCCAGTGTTCTACCAAAGTACCGCCCTACTACGACGGTCTTTTTGACCCCAGTCTTCTTCCGACTACGGTCCTCCCGACCTCCGTCGCCTACTATGGTCACTCTGACATCCATCACCAGACAACGGTATTTCAGACCCCAGTCTCCTGCCGACTACGGTCTTCCCGACCTCCGTCGCCTACTATGGTCTTTCCGACCTTCATCAACAGACAACGGTCTTTTTGACCCCGATCTTCTGCCGACTACGGTCCTCTCGACCTTCGTCGCCTACTATGGTCACTCCGACCTCCATCACCAGACAACGGTCTTTCAGACCCCAGTCTCCTGCCGACTACGGTCTTCCCGACCTCTGTAGCCTACTATGGTCCTTCCGACCTCCATTAACAGACAACGGTCTTTCTGACCCCGGTCTCCTGCCGACTACAGTCCTTCCGACCAAACAAACATGTATATGTAACTCATACCATGTAATGCAATCTATATGATGTACATTTGCTACATCAATCCAAGGCCTTCTCCCAAGGAAGGGCCTCATTTGTAATCGACTACAAATACTAGTGGATTCATTCAAACTGGGCCAAGCCCCGTGGTTTTTCCCCCTTTTCAAGGGTTTTCCACATAAAAAAACTCTGGTGTCTCTTATGAATGTTTCACCCCCTCACTTATCTGCTTGTGTGCTGGATCTTCGTATAATGCTAAGACGTTAAACCATATATTTCTCTACCACCGCGAATATTCCAGGACACAACAAGGTGGATAGTGATGAGGTGGGTGGGTGAGGAGTCTTGATCTTCTATCGGCCATTGGAGATGAAGAGTGAAGAAGCAATGAAGCTCACGACTCTGGTACCATAAAGAAAGACCTACACTGAGGTTAGAGAAGTAAAGGAAGAAGATAGAACAAGCTAATTGAAATTGCAGCATCTGTATTTCTCATAGATTTTAGTCATTACAGAGTTTGTAAATATATAGAGGTATAACATACAAGTTGGTTAGAGAATGTCAGAGTTGCCGTTGGTGGTCGTCTACGATTGCAGAGAAGGCGGAGCAATAACGGTGAGCTGAGGTAAGTGGTCCGCGATGAGCTATGGGTATGGCATTACGCCATTACCTCAGTGGTCCGCGATGAGCTATGGGTATGGCATTGCATCTTTATAGTCCGTGTGCGCTAACGCATTGATCCTCTAATTCGCTGCTGATAGCTCCAAAGCTTTATAAAACAATAATAAATAATAAATGCTAAAATATTCATTAAGACTTTAAGAAAAAGTTAAATTTGACTATTTGAGGAAAATATTCATAGGCTCAATGTATGATTTAGATCCTTCAAATCAAGCCAAATATAACAAGTCAATCTAGTCCCACTAGTAGGGATGTCAATTTTTGACACGACCCGAATCCGAAACGGGTCGGATTCGGGTTGAACAAATCAACCCGTTTTAAAAATCAAGTCAGGTTCGGGTTGACCCAGCAACCCGAAATTGATCCTAAAGTGACACGAAAACTCATATTTGACCCGAAAACCCGAGATTGACCCGATTTTGACCCGAAAATTGAATATTGACCCGATTTTGACCCAAAAATTAACAATTTTAACTCAAATTCGAGTCATTCGTGTCGGGTCGAGTTGACCCAGACCTGAATCGAGTCAGGTTCGGGTTTGAAAACCTAACCCGTTTTTAAAAACAGGTCGGGTTCGAGTTGACCCGAACAATGCCGGGTCAATTCCGGGTTGGACCTGAACCCGACCCGCTGACCCGAATTGACACCCCTACCCATTAGTCTCTTGGTTGCCATATTCAAATAGAACTCGCCCAACCGAGCTGATGACTTATTTCAATCAAGTTAAATAATTCTTCCAACCAAGTCAGCGACACCGAATCTACTAGGTGATTTTCTCTAGCCAAGCCAACTTTTCAAATCAAGTAGATGTTTTCTTTGAATTACGGTCTCATTTGGAATATTTTTCTTGCTATTTTCTAAATCAACTTTAAAATATAAAAAAATTTTAAACTAAAAATTTTTATATTAAAAAACTGTTTTAAAAAATAATAAAAAAATCCCGAATAAAACCTATGTTGACAGGTTCTCTCAATTAAACTGATAACAAACCTCTATCAAAATAAAATATTAGACTTTCATTAAAACTACAAAGAAGTAATAGACTTATTCAAGTCTCAATTGACAATCAAATGAAATTAAGCCTTACAATTTTTGTAATTTTTTTCTTTGTTTATAGAACAAATAAAACCTTATTTCTAGCTAACCTTCTTTCGTTCAAACCTCGACCCAAACATATAAATAGGTAATCATACATAGAGCTCAAGACAGGAGCTTCTTTATACTTTTAACTCATTTAATAAAATCTCAAAATCTTCTCACTTTAAAAACCCTATTTTCTCTCTTCTTCTTTTTTTTTTTTCATTTTGCCTACAAGAAAAATTATGATATAATTCCTGAACACATTTAAATTAAACAAATTTAACATTTTAAATAATCATAAATCCAATTTTCCAAAATGCTCTTAGATTCCCTCTCTAAAAAATAAATGGCAGTAGTAAAAAAAAATAGTGAGAATAAACTCAGTTGCACCTCTATTGGTGCAACAATAATTAGGTCAAAATATCATGACCTTTTTTTTTTTTTTTTTTTTTTTTTTTTTTTTTTTTTTTTTTGCATCTCTTACCGCATAATACTAAAAGTCAACTGATATGCAACGATACTATCTGCTCACATAAACAAATGAGAATGCATGGCCTACCTATGCCATTAAAAACAAAAATATAACAAAAGCTACATGAGATTTATGCTTCGTTCGGGACGACTTTCTTATTGTTTCTTAAAGTAGCTTTTAGTAAAAAAATTATAAATTTTATACTAAAAAACTGCTATAAAAAACAATAAGAAAACCGCCCCAAACAAAACCTTAGTCAATTTAACAACATAGACAAAGCCAAAATAGCCAATGACGCACGGTCCACTTGTAAACAACACAGCAAGAAGCTTCCAATCGACAAGCACTCGATGAAACCAGTATTACCGTTTCAAGACCTAAGCTTTCTATTTATTCATCGAACTGATGCAGGGTAAATTCATTTTTATTCTTTTTTTATATACCTGGGCAAGTCAAATTATGGCTGCCAGAGCTTGATAGCACCAGTGGATTATAGCCTTATAGCCTGCAAGTTCATCAGCAGTAAATCTGGTTGAGATATATAGCATTGGTATTTAAAAAGAATTCAAAAGGCTTTTCACTTTTTTTCAAGAAATTTTGCTTTTGAAGCCTATTGTTTGCTTATTTTTGCAACAAATAGGGGGAAAAAAGCTGGTGCTACAACACAAAGTCTTAAGTTTGTTTAACCAGAATGATAAAGAGAAAAAAAATGAAAGAGAAATAGAGATGATTAAGAGAGATGGAAAAGGGGACAAAGAATGGGAGTAATTTAGGGATTAAAATAACGGATTTTCAAATTAAAAAATAAAAAGATTAGACATTTAGCATTTTGAATTCAAGAGGTCTTATTTGAAGAAGAAGAAAAATGGATATAAAAAGGACCAACGTTCTCTTTTTATTAGACTTACTAATATAGTGTTAGATTAGTGAAGATTCTCAATCTCATGCCTGTTTTTCTTGTTCTCTAGTTGTACCAACTTGAAGGAGTTTGTGTAGCACCAGCCATGTTTTCACAAATAGGTTAAATAGTACTTCATATTGGGAATTGGTGCAGCAAGTTGATCCACTTTTGGTTAATCTAAATTGGAGGGCTTGTTAAAGCAAGCAAAGAAACTAGAAAGGAGAAACCCTAGCCGCCAGAAGTTTCCCTAAACCTTCCCCTTATCGCCTCCTCCATTGGGGGCCTCCACCACCTTCCCTATCTCCAGTATACTTTTTATTCCTCCCTCTCCACCCCCTTACCTTCCACCAAGCTCACCAGCCTCACCTCCACTTCCGATTTTCTTCCCCTTCACTATATCCCTCCCTCCGCTAGCCCTTCATTAGAACCACTTCAAAAACTCAACTGGAAATCACTTTTGACAACCTGTAAGTCTGTAACCTATCTTCTAAGGACTTTCCACTCACTTTTCTTCCACCAGCTGAAAAAATAGTTCACTTTTCATATGAAAAAAAATACAGAGGGAGCTACGAAGTGGGGTTTATCATTGGTAGGTTGCTCTATTGGTCAGAGGCCTTACTACGAGGCTTTAATTGGTATTCACAAAACGTGGAAGTTAATAGGTACTCTTAACCTAGTTTTCCTAAGCAAAGGCTTCTTTGATGTTCCTTTTAAATTCTTGACTCTAGAAGATTTTGAATGTAAACCCTTTACTCCTCAATTTCGCCCTAGACGGTTTCTCTTTTATCCCAATCTAGATTAAGATTCACGATTTGTCTTTTGTCATGTTAGAACCCATAAGGGATATCTAAAATCACTACTTTCATTGGCTTTCCTCTAGCCATAGATCCTTTAACCGTGGAAAAAATGAGATCAACTTTCGTGCATGTTTGAGTTCAAGTTTACAAAAATTCCCCCATGTTGGATGAGGTTCATATTTCTCTGTCTGGGAAGAATATTTCGTTGAGTTAAATGTGACTATTTCTTTGAGAGTTCAATATGACTGGAAGCCAAATTCGTGTGAGTACCTGTGGTTCCTTGGCGCATCCTTCCAGCCATTGTCCCTCAAAACTAACTGTAAGCCCACCACCATAAACTTACTTTATGGGATGAAGTAAAAGTAGAAAACCAAGAGGGTCTAGTAGGACCGGCAGACCTCCTGCTACAGCCAAGTTTATCGTCCTCTGCAACCCGCAACCCTCCCAACCAGCCAAATAACCCCATAAGCTCTGATCCTTTAAAAAATCTGCAAGCCCACTTAATCGTAATTTCTCACCCTTCATCCAATGTCACTACCTCAACTAACCAAATCCCAATCACGGAACGCATACCTCATCTCAATTACCCAACTGATGAAGCCTACAAAAACCTTACTGCCTCTACATCCATGGAAGGGTCCACCTCTGATTCACCTACGACTATATTGAAGAATAAGTTTTATGTTCTACAAACCCACAACCAATCTAAAAAACCTCCTGTTAATGTCTCTTCTTTGATGGCCACATGCCCTCCCACAATAGTTATTGTTGCTCAAGTTAATAAAAACACGAGCAAAAAGTACTAAGAAGGCACACTTCAAGCAAACCAAATCTCAATGTACCTCCTATTGCATTTTGGAATGTGCATGGTTTCCATAGCCCAGAGAAAGTTTTTTCTTGCAAGGAGTTAGATCTTTGAACCTTGACATGCTTTGTATTCTTGAGGCCAAAATCCAATGTGATTCCATCTCTAACCCTTAGTTCTCTGCTTCACATAGGATTTTTGAAAATGAAGATAATTTTCAATACATCAAGCCGGGATGAATTTAGCTAAAATGAAATTCTTCACGTATCTCCTTCCTCCCCTCTTTTTCATCTAGCCAACATATTCATTGTACCACTACTTATGTATCTCTTCCCCCATTTATGTTCTCTGTTGTCAATGCTTCCAACTCTCAAGAGTAGAGAACTCTGCTCTAGAACCAAATAAAACAAATTGCTGATGGCATCTCCCTTCCACGGATCATTTTAGGGGATTTTAATTGTTATTAGTATTCTGTTGAAAAGCTGGTGGCAACCTGTTACATAACAGTAAGTTGTGGATGTTTAACAATCTTATTTTTGTAGCTAGGTTACATGACCTCGCCTTGGTTGGTCACTTTTACATCTGGTTTAATCAAAGAGATGATTATCCCATTCATATTAAATTAGACAGAATGATGGTGAATCTTTGGCCAGAGCTTTTTCCCCATTCATATTATAGGATTGACAACCCGAGAAGCTCTGATCATTCTTCCCTTATTTTGCACTTTGCGTATGTTTCCAACTTTAGCCATCTATTTTTATTTAAGAAATATTGACTAAAAGATGGTGGTTTTTGTGGTTTTTGGGATGATCTTCTTAAAGATTTTTCTCAGCATCATGTTGGTAATCCCATATCTTATCTTTACTTGAAGCTTCAGTCATTGAAAAACATAATTAAATCTAAAGACAGGGCCTCTGCTCGCCATTTAACTTCCGCCTTGACTGATCTTCACTCCCATCAAGATGGTTTACTTCAATTGATTAATAGAGATCCTACTAATGCTTTGCTTAATGTCTCGCTCAAAACTTGTAATGAACAAATTGTCAACTACTCATCTTCTTGGGTCTCTTGGATCTCTCAACAATCCAAAGCTAAGTGGTTAACTTTTGGTGATGATGATCATAAATTTTTATATGCAAAAATAAATATTAGGAAAAATTATAATAGAATCCATGAAACAACTTCTGCAGGGACTTTTACTGCTGTCAATAATATTGTTGGTGACATTGTTAGTCACTTCAAAGCATTGTTTAATTCCCCTAACCCACCTTTCTTTGATCTCTCTTCTATTTTGTTGGACCAAGTGGTTCCTTTGCATTACATGTCTTCCCTCACTGCCCCTATCACTGATGAGGAGATGAAAAGGAGATCAAAAATGTCATGTTTTCATTTTCTTCCTCTTCTACTCTAGGTCTTGATGGCTTCACCTTTGAATTTTATAAAATCTCTTGGAACATTTTGGGGACTAATGTTTGTCGTGCTGTGAAATATTTTTTTCAATAATGGCTATCTACCTAAAAGAGCTAAAGCTTCTGTTAAGTGGGTTAAAGCCAATATTGAGGAGGTCTTCTTCTCTATTTGCATTAATGATGGTTTTCATGGCTTCTTCACTTCTTCTTCTAGTCTTAGGCAAAGTTTCCCCCTCTCCTCATACTTGTTTTGTTCTTCTAAGGATGTCTTATCTAATCTTTTGGAAACATTTGTTGACCATCACTCCTTTAACGACATATCTGTAGTTGATAATCACTTCAACCATCTTTTATACGCTGACGATTTATTTGTAAATGGAAAGGCAACACCCAAAATGCACCTCCCTTAAGGTTATCTTAAAACATTTTGCCTCCATTTATGGGCTTCAGGTGAACAATGCTTAAAGGTCTATAATATCGGCTCCAAATAACAATTCATCCTATAACTTTTGAACATATGAAAATATTTAAGAGTGAAAACATATTACCAAGCTGAAATGACTTGTAAGCAAAATATAATGATTGGATTATAAATAATAACATTGCAACAAAAACTCTCACAGCACCTACTGATCAAGACAGCAATGATATCTAAATTACTTGTAATAACAATCACAGGAAAAGTAAATTAATTGCTGCAACATGTATAATACAAGCAACAATAAGACAAAAAAGTTTAGCTGAGCATATTTCCTGCAACATATGATATCATAAAAAGTGCAGATGCAATGGAATAAATAGAGGGTACCTTTTCTTGATAATACCATAAGCATCCATATGCAAAGACAATATTTACTGTACATTACGATTAAGCAAACGCTGAAAGGATAAGTATAGATCCTTGTTCTCCGGGCCAAAAATCTCTTCTGCCTTTGCTAATGTTTCCTGAATTAGAACATGCGACAGAAACAATAAAAAAAACACTACTAGCGTCAATGAATGCAATTAAAGTTGTGTTTCAGAAAAGTTTAGAATATAATTCCGCTAATAACAACAAGATGAGCATCATATGACCAATGATATACCTGCCGTGATTTCCTGTTAGCATTGAGCTCCTTTATATTCGCTAAAAAAGTTCCAAACTGCTCGTAAGAGAGACGGGTCCTGAAAATCCAAAACTATCATTATACAAATAGAAAAAAGGGGGATTACAAAAAAAAAAACATAAGACAGTGAAAGCATTCCGAAAATGTTATTTTCACCTAGCTTGACGGAAGAACTCTTTTCCATCTATTTGAGGAGTTCGACCTGAAAAGAAATTGAAATCAATGTGAAGCGCTATGGCAAAGGTCTAGAAATACTATTACAGAGATCTAGCATAGTTCACCAAGCAAAACTAACTTTGTACAGAGATATTAAAAACCTTGCAAAGAGTTCCCACGAGGAGGAGAGCTGGCTGCAGAGATCTGCTGACTTGAAGGATACCTTGATGACATGGAACCTTGATCTTCAAAACGAGAGGTTGTAGGAGATGTGGCACCCGAAGAAAACTTTGACAATGAATCTGCAGTAGAGAATCTTCTAGGGGAACCACCAGTAGACGAGACCCTTGGCGTGCTGTTTGGGCTGAGTTGTGGAGTGATGTATGGAGTGATCGAGAACTTATTACCTGCATCTTCTCCTGACTCAGTTTTTGATGGTCCAATATCAGAATCCAATGAAGAGCGGCTAAAGGAAGACTGATCTTCAATCATCAAGCAAATAAAAAAAAAGTGCAGTCAGGGATTAAACTGTCAAAAAAAGATTTTTCTACTGCTTTTCAACAGGAAGGAAGCGATGCATGGAATCTCATTTTCAGCAAGATGCACATTCCAATACCTTTCCATGCAGATATTCTAGCAACAGAGACATCAGCGGCTCCAAAATCTCCTTCTGATTGCTGTAAACAAAAACAGATCGAGAAAGAAAAAAAATATGAGGAAATACCCGTTCTTTCTCAGTCCCAGAGGAAGGGAATGATATGAAAGAAAAATAGAAGAAATCAAACTAAATATCCCGACAAATTATAAATAGCTAGAACTTACAGAGGGACTATCATCATTCAAGGATAGCATTAGTTGCCTCTTGAACGTCTCCAGCTACAAATAGTAAATTTCATTCAGCTTTCATCACATAAGAGAAACGAAATTTTTTACAAACAATACAAAAAGCGACCAGAAAAAAAACTTTAAGCCTTTGCATCATTCTAAGAAACAAAAAACAATGTTCCAAACTATAAGAAATTCTAACAATTACAAAAATCAAAGCTATATTCTAGCATTTTCAACCTAGGCAACTAAAATATATTTTTGAGAGTTTACTAAAGCGGGGATTCTTTTTGGGATAACTAATTTAAGTACTTTATGTGCAAAAGTAAGTTCAACTCAAAGTTACACAAAAAGTTAACACCAATTCACCATGGCAACATAATATCCTGTGATTTTCACATTCAAATCTAATTATTTATGATTATATAACAAGAATTCCAACAACAAAAGCAAACTGCAATAACTGCAAGGCTGATTTACCTTAGGGATTCAGTATCATGTGCTTCCACCACCCTACAATACAAATATCTAGGTAGACATGTGCGCAAAATTATTTGTGAAGAACAAGAAATGTTGAAGGAGTTATTTGTGCGCAATCAAATCATCATACTTCTTCTGTCAAAGCAATTAAAGCATGTAACAATAAAAATAGATGATTTAAATACCAAACACTTATTCAGATTAACCATTGCCAGAATAAGGGTCAATTAATCTGTCAACCCTATGTTTAATAGCGTCAATCAATTAGTAGAAAAGAGACAAAAAATAGTGTAAAACAGCATTCAGCTTATAGGAAACGATTTCAGTTTTGATGCAGATCTCATGAGTAGGAGTTCAATCTGATGGAGAACAAAAGATCAAATTTTCAAGCTTGTAATGAATGGCCTCCTCCACATTAAGAAGGCAAAATATGGAAGTTATATCACATAAACAGTTGATTAATGTTGATGTTATGGTTGCAATATTTAAGATAGTTATGGTAGTTTTGATAGTTATAGGATTTACTCCACTCCCTCCTCAACTTAAGTAAGTGTGTCCCACAAAAGAACGTTCCACATCACCCCACGTGGAAGTAAGCACCAACCAACCACCTCCCTTCCAATTGGATTTCAAATTTTTAATGCTATGTGATGTTTAAAATGTTGTAAACATGAAGAATAAGGGAATGAAATCAATAAAAGAACATGTGTAAAAAATAAAATCTAATTTTCATATTCCTCTCTTTTCACTTGGTGGAGTACCATGGTAGTTAGGTGACTTCCATGTCCATGGGAGGCTTAGGGGCCGACTATGAGGTGGATTTTTATATTATTTTTAATTTATTTCATCTTTATCTCATTACACTCGTTCCACGTACAAGACAAAAATACACCCTATAGTAGGTGTAAAACCCTTCAGATTTCAGATTTTTGGGTGCACGTTTGTCTGTACGAACTGACTAAGTACGGACGAACAGTTAAAATTTTTTTATTTTGTTTGTACGAACCGTCTGTACGAACTGAAGAAGTTTTTGGCAGAGCCGATCGTCCTGGGACAATAGAAAAATATCGTCTGTACGAACGTGGTCTGAATACAGTCCAGAGCCGATCGTCCCGGTATGAACGTAAATATCGTCCATACGAACGAAAATATATTTTAAAGGACCGATTGACTCGTTTTGAAGAAAGAGAAAGAAAAAGGAAGATAGGGGAAAAGCTTGGTTTTTGGAGGCCGAGGAGCGATTTTCGTCCGTCGACGCAGTTGGAAGAATTATTTGTCTCGCAGTAAGGAATCAGAATCCTATATCTGATTTCGAAGATTTCGCATTTTGATATTTTTCTGCTCAGTTTTGCGTTTCTGTTACCGAAAAATGTGCATATCTTTGTATAAACGAAACTTTCACCGCATAATTTTTTGTATGTTATAGAGAATGTGATTACGAGCATTTTGAGTATTTATTTGTGATTTTTCACCGGGTGGTTTTGAAGAAACAGCGACTTCTGTCTATTGTACGATATTTTAAGGGTTTTCTAATTTGAGCTAAATCATGTTTATTGGTTTGAATGCATTGATGAGATAAAAATGAATGTGGTTATATGATTGAAATTACTGCTATATTACTGTGATACTGCTGTGTGTGTGAAAGACAAGTAAAAACTAGTTGAACCGTTGGTTGGAAACTGATTAACCTATATAGGATGGTGGGCCGACGGGTTTTCCTTTAAATACCGTTTAGTATTATCCTCTATTGATCACGTGATTACTAATTGGGATATATAAGGAGATGATTACTGTGACGACTCTATTTACTGAGCCAACGGATATGATACTGAAACAAGACTGAAAAACACCGTGATAGCCAGAACTTTTACTTGTTGAGTATGACTATTGTACTGAAATGCATGTTTAAAGCATTGTTCTTATTGATATTGTACATATTTATTGATATTGTACAGATTTATCATTACTGTACGGATTTACTGTTATTGTATGATTTCACTGTTGTAGCATTATCGTTCATGTCACTAGATTGTTACTGATACTGATATTGATATGAGCACTGATACTACTAATTCACGGTACTGATATTATGCATGTGATATACTGAGCAAGTGACAAGTGACATGTGATTCACTGAACACGTGATATAGATTACTAGATTTTATGTGATACACTGAGCACGTGATATCGAATAAGTAGATTTACAAGTGTACGTTTTGATACGATTCTACTACATTGATTGATTCCAACTGTCTCGAACGATGTTATGATTTTATTTCATTGATCTGATTGCAATAGTGAGTAATGATGTATTGATTTGATGCTTTATACGAACTTATATCAACTGACATTATTGACTTGATGATTTCTTTATTGGTTTATCTGATATTACAGATACGACAATTTCTTCATTGATTTGACTAATATTATTGACCCGAGGATTTCTCTATTGATTTGACTGATATTATAGATATGACGACTACTGTAGAGATTTGATGCCCGTACCGATTTATTGAGTTTTACTGACATTTATACTATTTACTGATTCTTTTACTGTCGATTGTGGATTTTACTATTTCTGTATTGATATTGTTTACGCATTGATTACTATTTTTACACTGATTTCTGTTTCTGTATTGATTCAATAATCATGTGTAAGTGACAATTATGATTTGACTGATTGGCATGCATATTATTTTTATACCGTGCTTTGATTTCAGTTGTAGGTATTTGGTTACCTGCTGGGCTTTTTAAGCTCATTATATGTGGTTAATGATTTCAGGTCAGGGCAAGGGAGTAGGAGTGTGATGTTGATTAGAGTTCTTCAGGTTTTGTTCATTTTTGTTATAGTTATTCTTTTGTACTCATGATTGGATAGAAAATGTGATTTATGTGTAGATCCTGAGTATTGTAAATGACTTTTGGGAATGAATGTAAATGTGAACATTGATGTTTTTTTTTAAATAATATATTCTGTTGTACTGTTTATTACTAATTGATGACTATAGATAGCTCTGGTAGTTGATTGTTTTAAAGGATCGACTGAATTATTCTTTCAAATTAGATCTCGGAGCGTGACAGTAGGCCACCAAGCCTCTCATGGCCATGAAAGTCACCAAACTCCATGATGCTCTTTCACCGCCAAATGGAAAGAGAAGAGTCCAAAAATTGGATATTCTTTCTAACACAACCAAAGTATGATTTTTTTTTATTTTCTTCATTCCTTCTTTATACATCAAGTTTACGACATTTCAAATATTACATAGCATTAAAAAATCAAAATCTAATTGGAGGGGAGTTGGTTGGTTGATGGTTACTTCTAAGTGGGTATTATGACGCCTTCTTCTGTGGAATTGCTTCCTTAAGTTGGTGAGTGAGTTGGGCTGCTGGATTTACAAGTGTACGTTTTGATACGATTCTACTACATTGATTGATTCCAACTGTCTCGAACGATGTTATGATTTTATTTCATTGATCTAATTGCAATAGTGATTAATGATGTATTGATTTGATGCTTTATACGAACTTATACCGACTGACATTATTGACTTGATGATTTCTTTATTGGTTTATCTGATATTACAGATACGACAATTTCTTTATTGATTTGACTAATATTATTGACCCGAGGATTTCTCTATTGATTTGACTGATGTTATAGATACGACGACTACCGTAGAGATTTGACGCCCGTACTGATTTATTGAGTTTTACGAACATTTATACTGTTTACTGATTCTTCTACTGTCGATTGTGGATTTTACTATTTTTGTATTGATATTGTTTACGTATTGATTACTATTTTTACACTGATTTCTATTTCTGCATCGATTCAATAATCATGTGTAAGTGACTACTATGATTTGACTTATTGACATGCATATTATTTTTATACCGTGCTTTGATTTTAGTTGTAGGTATTTGGTTACCTGCTGGACTTTTTAAGCTCATTATACGTGGTTAATGATTTCAGGTCAGAGCGAGGGAGTAGGAGTGTGAGGTTGATCAGAGTTCTTCAGGTTTTGTTCATTTTTGTTATAATTATTCTTTTGTACTCAGGACTGGATAGAAAATGTGATTTATGTGTAGATCCTGAATATTGTAAATAACTTTTGGGAATGAATGTAAATGTGAACATTGATGTTTTTTTTTAAATAATAGATTCTGTTGTACTGTTTATCACTGATTGATGACTATAGATAGCTCTGATAGTTGATTGTTTTAAAGTATCGACTGAATAATTCTTTCAAGTTAGATCTCGGAGTGTGACAATAGGCCACCAAGCCTCTCGTGGCCATGAAAGTCACCAAACTCCATGGTGCTCTTTCACCGCCAAATGGAAAGAGAAGAGTCCAAAATTTGGATATTCTTTCTAACACAACCAAAGTATGAATTTTTTTATTTTCTTCATTCCTTCTTTATACATCAAGTTTACGACATTTCAAATATTACATAGCATTAAAAAATCAAAATCTAATTGGAGGGGAGTTGGTTGGTTGATGGTTACTTCTAAGTGGGTATTATGACGCCTTCTTCTGTGGAATTGCTTCCTTAAGTTGGTGAGTGAGTTGGGCTGCTATTAACAACTTGAAATAACCACCTTTGATTGTTCATTACAAGGGAAATACAATGGTGGAAGTTTCTTGCATGAAATCTTTTGTTCTAGCAATTTATATTCAACAACTTGACATAACTAAAAGGAAACATCCCCAATAATTACAAAACGACAATATCCATCATAACTATCATAGCTACCACTTATGAATTTTTAATTTCAAATTTGAAATTTTCTTTTAAAATTCAAAAATTCATTCTCAAATTACAACAAGCTAACATAACTACCATAATACCTTAAATACTATAATCATGAATGTTTTGTGTGATGTAACTTTCTTATTTTGCCTTCATGATGTGGAGGAGGCCATTCATCACAAACTTGCTTGAAAACTTGATTATTTGTTCTCCTTTAGATTGAACTTCTACTCATGAGATCAGCATAAAAAATGACATCTCTATCTCAATTCAATTAGAAATCCATCAAATCTTTTATTTATGTGAATGAATTGGATTATTTAATTAAGGAGTAATAATGGAGATACTTTCATCAAAGTTTTGCTGAAAAAGCAGAAATTGGATCAAATCGTTTATTCATAATGCAACTAATTTGTGCTACATCTATGCTTTGACTCCTATATAGAAGAGCTCCTTGTAGTTGATACACTCCTAAATTCTCTGCAGATTCCAATGCTTTTGAATCTCGTAGAAACGCACCTCTGCAGCAAACAAGCCAACTACTGAACTTTCCTATATTAATTATCCCCAAATTAGCATCTCCTTAACGAAACATAACCAAAAAACAATATTCCACTCTCAATGTTTGCGGGAAAACAAATTTGATTCAGAATTTCGAACATAGCGAAGTTAGAAAAAATTAATTAAAAAAGTCGAACACACCTTGGTGAGATCCCGGCTCTGTTTCTTCACAGTCAAAGCAAGGGCATCCCGTTCCTTCACCAACCGAATCTTCAATCATTCAACCACCAACGAAAAACTTTCAATTTCCAGCCATCACAGAGCTCACAAAACCCAGCAAAACTTAAAGCATCTCTATCTTCAAAATTCTAAAAGCCTTACATTTTCCTCGAGCGCTAGTCTGAGGCGGGATTCCGACTCCTGGAACAAGCGATCGCGCTCGTTTACCCGGTCCTGGAGCTCGTTAATAATATGGTCCTTATCGCCGATATCCCGCCGGAGGCTCCCGTTCTCCGCCTCGAGCTGCCTAACACGGGATGCGATTGCCATGGACGTGATCTTTCGGGCGAGGTCTAACTGCTCGAAGGGATCCGTAGGAATCACCGAGAGAATCTCGTCGGGTAGGTGGAAGTCGGCGCCGTTCATTGACATCTGGCCCGGCGAGTTTTAGAAAAACCTAAGTCCGGAATACTAAGCGTGCTTGGATCGGATGGCGGCAGAATTTCCAGCGGAGGAAGGAAGGGATCGATTCAAGATGGCACTCGGTGCGGGGATGTTGACGGAAGTCTTTTACGGGATGATTAAAGAGAAATTGATAAAATGAAACATAAATTATAATAACAATAATAAAGAATTATTTAATATAAAAAAATTAGAATATAATTTTAAAATATTTTTAACAACTTGATATTTAAAATCCTAAATTCTAATATATTTTATAGTAATATTTTTTTTAAAATGAGCTGGTATACAGCTTACGAGTCAAGTCGGGACTAACTCAAATTTGGAGCTCTAACTCATTGAGCTCAGCTCACAAGTCATTTATCGAGCTGAGCTCAAGCTAGCTCATGAGTCGGCTTGACTCACTTACACCCATACTTGCATGCATGTAGGGATGTCAAGGCAGCTGCGCGGGCAGCTGCGGGCAGGGGGCAGACAGGTCCGCGGGTAGCCAGGCAGGGGCGGGCAGGTCCTCAGGCAATCGGGCAGTCATTTTAAATGGGTTTCTGGGTTGACCCGGCAATCCGTCGCCCGAACCCAACTCGTTTTTCAAACGGGTCAAATCTGCGAAGCCAAACCCGACCCATTTTGGAAACGAGTCTGATTTTCGTGTCATGTCAAATATTGACACCCCTACTTGTATGCTTCTGGCTAGTTGTTTATTAGGTAAAAAAAATTAAGTTCTATAAATGTTTTAGATTAAAATGGGAATATATATTTGACTTTACATGCAATGACTATTTATTCGGGTTCAACCGTTCAAATACTTTGAGGATGAAATTGATTCCAACTCAAATTTTTATTTGATTCTAATATATATTTTAAAAAAAAATGGTTCAAATATAATTCGAATAAACTCGTGTCATGAATTTCTCTTCTTCATCACACATCATTGATCTTGCGATGTCATTTATAATGAACTTCCTTCGTGAAATATTCTTCTCTTTTTCATGTCATTGCTCTTGAAGATGAACTCGATAGGTTCCACACTACTCCCATCATTTCCCTTAGCAAGCTCCTATTGCAAACTCTTCTTCTTCTTCGCATGTCATTGCTCTTCACAATTCGCCTCTAGCAAAGCTCATTCTGAATCAAGTTTGAACAGATTTCGAATGAATTAGTTCATTGATCAATTCATGAATACAAGAGATTATCGCACATTGGGTTAACTTTATCTCAGCTAAACTTTCAGATATATTCTCCAAAAAAAAATTATTAATGGGATATTTGTTGCATTAGGCATACTATTAGGCATTTGAGTCAATTTCCTTTGAATTGCATTGGATAATTTGGGGGAAAAAAATTATTTAGGATTGAATTGATCAATTCTCTCATTGTCACTTGCAAATATTTTAAGAGGGAGAAAAATAATTAAATATATTGTGATGTGTTAATAAGTTAAATTAAACTATTTGAATGTTTATGATGAAATTTAATTAATAATTGTTTTTAAGCCATTATGTCACATCTTACAAGGAGACCTCAATAAAATATTTTTGAATTTAAAATTTCATTTTCAAAATGCATAATTTTTCTCTATAATTATGAGGAAATTTAACTTTATTTATCTTATAGCATATGTGATTAGTTAAAATATATCAAAATTTTATTTTCTATACCTAAAAATTATTTTTAAACAAAATTACCCATATTATAATTGTGAATTCCTTATTATTGATGATCACTTTGAATTAAATTAGTTCTAATGGATCAAGCTTTCAAGTGATATTCTTGTTGCGGATTAGAATATACGCGGCGATAGAATTAGAAAGTTTTTGTCTAGCGTTGTGCGGATATTCAGCACACAATCAGAAGATGAAAGAACACTATGATTTTTACGTTGAAAATATTGGAAAGGGAAAAACCATGGGACCATGCCCAGTTGAAAGAATTACACTAGTGTTTACTTAAGGTACAAGAGGCTGACTCGTCCTTAAAATATAAGACGATCAGATTACAATAATCCACTCCCGAATTGAAAATCCATTTACAAATAAGAATTTGAGATTCGACGATGTTGGGTATTTGAGTTGAATCCCAAAATCACTTAGAGATAGGACAGATTTCCAGTGCACTTGGAGGTTGAGCGGAGTTTCGGCGTCACTTGGAGATCGGGCGGAGTTTCGGTGTGAGTTGGAAGTCGGGCAGAATTCCGACGTCACTTAAAAGTCGGGCGGAACTCCGGCGTTACTTGGAAGTGGGGAAGAATTCTGGCGTCACTAGGAAGTCGAACAAAACTCCGGCGTCACTTGGAAGTTGGGCATACTCTGGCGTCACTTGGAAGTCGTGCGGAACTCTGGCGTCACTTGGAAGTCGGGCGGAACTCCGGCGGTGGTCAAGGAGGAGCTTCTTCCCTCCTTCTCTTCTCTTCTTCTTCTTGCTTTTGTCCACTCTTAAGAGAATTGAGGGGCTATTTATAGTTTTTTTAGGATGGCATGACACGTAAATAAGAGGATGATCAAGGGAAAATGTGGAGTGGTTTGAATGGACGGCCGATATTGAATCCCTTGATCATGGACCTTTCGTCAGACATTTGAAGGCCTTAATGACATTGAAATTCGGCGATCTTGGCCTCGTTGAATTTGTCTCGTCGAGCCGCTCGATTCAACTATAAGCATGTCATGTTTGAAAACCGTTTGTTAATCTAAATTGTGGTTTGAACCTTCTAAGAGTGCTTCAGGCCCTTGATTTTGACACATTTGGGCTCGGATTGAGTTGAATTAGGTGTCGTTGGGTTTGTATTTCTGAGACGCTCAGTTTGACTGTAAGTTTGTTGAAATCAAAGCTCAGGTGATCCATGATTTAATTTTTGAAGCTTCAAACCTGATTTTTGCCTTGAGATTCGTGCCCGATCAAGATAATTTTTTGATGATATATCAATTCTAATATATTCGAATAAATTTTGAAATAAGGTTCAAATGAAGATTCATATAAGGTTTAAGTAATCTCCTAACATATTCAAGCAAAGTTTGAATAAGGTTCAAACATGATTCAAATATAGTTTGAGTTTGATTTAAATATAATTCTAGCATGATTTTGAGTAAAATTCTTGCATATTCGAAGAAGATTCAGACAAACTATATTGAAGAAAATTATGAGTTAGATAAGTGAGAGTGCAATCTTAACTTGTATAACATAGTAAACTATAAATTTGATAAGAGGAATCACAATATTTATAATATAGTAAACAAGTTTGAAATAGCATAATGTAATCACAATAGCTATAACACATCAAAATATAATGTATATGATTTACAGGGCAAAATGAATAAATAAAAAAATAAATATACATCACTTTACATGCTAGAAAAAAAGAATTAAATGTACATCAGTTCATATGGACCTAACTAAATAATGCAAAATTTTTTGTCATATACATGTGAAAATGGATTCTAATTGTATTGATCAATCGGATTGTATTGTTGCCTCAAACCTCCAGTAAATTTTTTCTGCTTGCTTTGGGGGTGAGATCCTTTGCCTAAACTTCCATTGAAAGAGAATGATACAGCAGAAGACCACAAACATGGCCACATCAATAGAAATACAATCAATGAAAAATAAAGAAAAAAAATAGTAGAAAAACAAACTGAGAGTTGGATAGGCAAAATCATAAAATCGAGGACTCAGACCGACTCCTAGTTGCCAGGGAGAGTCCATCCATGGAGGACCGACAAAATATCCAAACCAAAAAGCTGCCAAAAAATGAGCCACCAAGGTTGCCAACCAACCCTGGCCATCCAAGGCGCAGCAGCAAAACTGCTTCATTGTCGTCCATACCGATCAATCCAACATCACAACCAAAGCAACAAAATCCGGAATAAAAGCAAACTTCCAAAATAAGAAAGTCAAAAACCTTCCAAAATAAGAAAGTCATTTATTCTTGGATTTCCGTTTAGGTTGCCTCACAAAATTATCGAGCGAGTCCGTTTCCAGGTTGCTATCAATAAAATCTTCCCCACTAGCAACCGACATGTCATCATGCAACCAATTACATTGCCACCGAACATAAAAATATAATAACATGGGTTAACAAATTAGCATTTGAAATGACCGAAATAATCATATCCACTAGAGGCGTTACAACACATGCCTCCTCAACAAAAGCTAAAGCTTCATCGCCAATATCAACTAAAGAAGCAAAATTATCAACAGATAACTCCGCACCACCACCATAAATAGGACTATCCTTAAGATTAACAAAACAATTAATATAAGTCACATACATAATAACAGTAGCCTCATTAGGAGAAACAACCCCTCCACAGCACCATAAACCACCAACTCCTCATTAATACGGGCAGCAGGGGAGAGATCAGGGCAAGAAACAGGCCCGACATTTGGCACACCCACATCACTGACATTAACAAACTGGATAGGGAAATCCAGCACAGCAACCGAATACACCAAAACAATAGGAGAAAGTGTAATAAGAGTAATAGGAGAAACATCTGCATTAGAATGCACAGTCAATCCTTCAACACCCTCAGCCCCAATACCCACCAGAGATAATGACTGACCCACAGGATTAGGAATAACCAAGTCAATCCGAATAGACTCATGCTCAATAAGATCACAAACAACATCAGCTAAAGCAACAATACAATTATCCAACACAAATAGGACTAGCAAGAGGCAAACAAACTGGTAAATCACAAACCTGACCAGCTGGATGCAAAAAATTACCCTCAACAGACTGCTTAATGACAGGAGACAACACCTCCTCCAGAACATGAGGCAACTGGGGATGAAGACGTAGGCATTCATGTTTCGAATGACCCAAAGACTTACAATGAGAACAATAAAAGGGAAAAGGCTCCATCACAACCGTTTGGATATAACCCAAGCCCTCAGAGCCAACCCAAACCTGACAAGAAAAAACTTTGGTAATATCCAATTCCACCAAGACACGCACAACCGATGGCCGCCTACCGGAGGAGGTAGCCTGATCAATTTTCAGGGGTATACCGAACATGGAACCAAGCCCATTAAGGATCATAGAGGCAAATAGATGCGGTCTCAAATTAGGAAAAAAAAATCAAATAGGGATAATGGGTGATTCAATTTCAACATCGAAGGTAGGAGACCACTTGAAGAGTTTCATGAAATAATTGTTCACAAAGTATGAGCGGTGAGAAAAAACAAGGCAATAGTCCAAATCATTCACATGCTTGACAAGAACATGCTTAGGGTTATGGACAATGATCGAGAATTCACCATTGAGCTTGAGGTTAAATAAGAATTTGCGAATAGCCTCAAGTGAAGGCCCACGAGAGGGAAATTTACCCACTAACCCAAACTCAAAGGGAGCGACAAGTGCCAAAACTTCCTCATAGGAAATCCAAAGCGACGACATCCCACGAAAAGAGGAAATTTTGTGGTATGGAAAATTAGAGACAGAAGATGAAAAATAACCCACTAAAGCCTCACGAAAAGACCAAGACGGGGGATTGCCTACCAAGAAGCTGAGATCCCGAAGACGTTTGTCCTCCATTGAAAAGCAAAAGGCCACAAAAAAACAATGAAAACCACAAGAGATTAAGGCACAAAACTTCCCAGAGGAGCTTGAAGAGCAAGGATGCATCGACGAAGAGAAGGGAATGCCAACCAGAAACCCTAATAGAACACATTCTCGTGAAAAGTTAATGATCATTTTAGTTGTACATATGATTAATTTCTTCATTTAATGCACCTATCTTTCTAGTTTAGGGTTTCCTCAATGGTGCTATCTATATAGTCAAATATGGTGGAGGATTTGGCTTCATATGCAAAGACTTATGAGCCTAAGCTATGAACCCTCCTCCTGTGCATTCTTCCAATATTTGGGTCCATAAATTAACGTTTGATTATTGAATTGATTCAAAAGAGGACTCCTCTCCCGTAGAAGTTTGGCAATGTGCTTCCCAAAGTCACATGTAATCTTCATATAACATATAAAGTAGGGTTAATAATTATTATACACATAATATTTTTTTAGAATATATATACATATTTAAGCTTTTTTTGATTTAAGATCAAGATGGAGTAGCTCCAATGGCAGATAAAGATTAGAGAGAGCCATCTTAGATGATTTGGATACATAAAATATCAACTTTTTGACGACCTAATTAGGAGAGTAGATGTATTATATTATATGATAAACTTTTTGATGATTTAGTTAGGAGAGTAAATGTATTAGATTTAACTTATATTTAAGAAAGATAGAGATAGACCTAAAAAGACTTGATTAAAAAATATTAAAAAAAACATTTATTTATTATATTAATATAAGAATTTGGCTCGTAGTGAACTTATTTTGTGTGCATACAAACGTTGTTCTGAAGGCGAATCAGACCGCACCATGACACTCTTTTGTTGTGTATTACAGCTGTGTACCCACTATGTATCGGATGACGTGGCACGCCCTGATTCGCCTTCGGACGATCCGGTGTCCACACAAAATAATTTCTCCTTAATATGAACCAATGGAGAAAAAGGATTCATACAGCTGAACCCCATGTAGAAGAATAATTGCTTGATGTTGTAACTGTTGTAAAAAAATTTGTACTAAAAAACTACTTCAAAAAAATAATAAGAAAACTATTCCAAACGAAATCTTAGATTGGTTGAATTCTGATGGAATCTTCAACAAATTCATTTTTGGTTGGCGAATATCTTTGACTCGAGCGAAGCGAATTCATTTGATGAGTTAGCTCAACATGCAATTTTGCCAACCCTTACTAGCATACATATCTCCATAAGTCCAGGATAAATAACCACAAAAAGATAGATAAATAAAGCAGGCAACCATTTCCATTTACATATATCTGAAATACATAGCCACATTTTCATTTTTACAACCAAAGAAGAGCTCTACAGATTCTCTCAGCTTTGAACCACCACAGTTCAATAACTCACAGAAATCTCAATAAATATCTCCCTACCCTTCAACTACTTCAGAATAACATAATCTGAGCCAAAGAAATTGAACTAATACTGTACACTGATCTGCAAAAAATAAACAAGAAATTGCTGCTTTGCATTGCTCTGAAGAGCTGATAACATCTGAGCTTTATTGTAGAAGTTGAATGAAAGAATGGGCATGAGACTGAGGATTCGTTTGGGACGACTTTCTTTCTGCTTCTTAAAGCAGCTTTTTAGTACAAATTTTTTAATTTTTTACGAAAAAACTGCTTTAAGAAACAATAAGAAAGAGCCTGAATGTTCTTAGTTGCAGCAACTGAACATAAACTCAAAATAGACGACCAACTTCAGAGGTAATTCTGACAAATTACCAGAATGAGAGCGTAAATGGTGGATCAGAGAGGCTTATAAATCTACCAGCAAGCAATCATCTTAGACATTCAACCAGATTCTGAATCACCTTGATGTAGCTGTTTCACCTTGGAGTTCTCTTTGAACCAGTTTTAGAATTTCCATAACCTGATATTGAAAGAAATTGATGGCTGAGAACAGATAATGCAGCATAAGTTGTATACGGATAGCTATGGAAAAATTTATGTATGAAGGATCATATCAGCAATAGATCACTCAAATGGAAGGGTGGAAGGAAGAATAGTGCAGAAGAAGCAACAAATCTTCATCGCTTTCCAGCAACTCAACCTAATGAAAGACCATAACAAAAAAGATTTAAGGGATCTCAACATTTTCAACAAAATGTTTCTCTTGCTTGTTCTCACTATAAGAGCACAGCCTCCTTGCTGGCTTCACTTTCCCTCATCAAGCTCTACTAAAAGATCTTAATTACGCAAATGAGAAAATGAAGCTAAACTTTTTCAACCTGCCAACCCACGAAAATCTCCATCAAGCCAACAAACACAATCTTAGGCTTCATTTGGAACGACTTTCTTGTTGCTTCTTAAAACAGCTTTCTAGTATAAAAATTTTAATTTTTGTACTAAAAGTTGCTTTAAAAAGCAACAAAAAAGTCGTGAAGCCTTAATCTAGATAGTAATGGCCCAATCTTCCCTAAAATTCAAAATACCACTTTGGAAGCTTACAAAGGGAATTCATACCCCACAAATATTATTGCTCGGTTTGAGTCAACAATATCATTGCTCATTGCAAGGGATGAAGTGAAGTGCAGATTACTCTTTACAACATTTAAGAAGGCACCATATTACGATGGTTTTCGAAAGCTCCATACAAAGGCATAGCAAATTTTGTAGAACTCAAGTGACTTGTATTACACAATTTGTAAGTGCTCAATGACCTTTGAAAAGCTCTCAAGCCCTATTGAATATTAGGTAGGAACCTAATGAATCCCTTGAGCGATTTGTAACTCATTTTCAACGTGAAATGATAAATGTCAATGATAGAAAGTTTGTAGTAACCCAAGCTACACTTACTGAAGGTCTTCAAGAAGGATCTTACAGATATGATCTCAGTTTGCAGCAACCAAAAACATTGGCCAAATTCGTAGAACTCACCTAGAATGATATAAATGCAGAAGAATCTAATAGTGTTGCAATTTTTATCTGAAAATTTTTATTTGATGTCAATGCTTAAAAAAAAAAATTACTTTTAACGAAGAAATATTTAATAAAAATTCTCTAATGTTTAATTCAAATATACTCGAGGAACTCATCTAATAAATTCATGGCCACAAGCTGACTATCCATTTTCTAACAAATTCAAGAAGCAAGACCATATAAAAACCTAAGCTTTTTATATGGAGAAAAAAGCAGGAGATAAATTTTGATGACTTTCTTGTTCATATATTGCAAATGTGATCTTTAGAAGTCCAGAGATCCACAAGTATGACAATATTTATTTAGATGCCATAGTTCATCAGGACAAACTCAATTCATCTACTTGATTATCAATTTCATGTCAATAAAAAGCCATCCACTTCCACACATTTGGAACCCCTCGAGTGAATCCTATTTGAAATGGCCGCAATCAACACAAATTATAGAACCATCACACAAGTGATCTCACGCCCTGTAAATAGAGACTAAGGTTTTCTTTGGGGCGGATTTCATGCTCTTCTTAAAACAGCTTTCTAGGACAAAAATTAAATTTTAAAAGCTGTTTTAAGAAGCAGTAAAAAAGCCATCTCAAACGAGGCCTAAATCTGTCGTGTAGCAGCCAGACTCTGGAATCTTACATAGCAAAAGAAGGCAGCATATATTTGACAGTGAAGCAGGAGCCTTTTCATCCTTAAATTATCAATTTAAGAGATAAGACTGGAAAATATCAACCTAATTGCTACCCTGGTGAAAAAATAGATGACCAAGTAGCAAAGAAAGTAAAAAATTAGCAACTACACGGAAATTCCCGCAAAATAATATACTACAGAAGAAAACAGCAGAAAAGCTGAAACGAACTTTACCCCGGGATAGTGTTGCAACACTGGTGAGTAATGATCAAGTGCTACATATACCTTTCCAAGAACAGACAAAAGTGCATCTACCTCATCACCAAGTAGATCGACCTGAAATCAATAAAAAGGAAAGTCATTTTCTTGCATTATTAGCTTAAGGCTTCGTTTGGGACAGCTTTCTTACTGCTTCTTAAAGCAGCTTTTTACTATAAAAATTTTATATTTTGTGCTACAAAGATGTTTTAAGAAGCAATAAGAAGCCATCCCAAACGAAACCTAAAATAATTGTGAAGTACTTCCTCTAGTAGTAGTTACAATGAAGAAGTATACAAAACTTCAAAGGTAAAACGAACACAAAGAAAAGTAATAAACATTTAAATAAAATATGACATGCTTTCACAAATTTGAATGGATTTAGAATTGAAATATGTTAGATTGGTCCATTGGACCGGTTCAGCCGGTTCACGCAGGACCGTCTCAGCGCAACCGAGGCGGACGATCTCTGTCTCTTCCGTGGGCGTTCGGTCCGCATGAGCCAAACGAGCATTTTAGGAAGGATTTTTGAGGGCTTTGGGAGGGAAATTTGAATGTAGGGACTGTTTAGGGATTCCCTTTTAATTTATATGTATTAAATACTTTATTTTCCTATGATTAGGGCATCTAGAATTTGGCTGAAATTTAAGATCTCTTAGATTTAGGTTTTCCTTGGGGCTCTAGCGGTGTCTAGAGATTGGGAGAGATCAATCCTCCTCTCGAATAGAGGATCAATTGTATCTTGGTAATTTCCGCTTTCTTTTCATCAAATAATACAAATTATCTACTATTTTCGTGGTTTTGTGTGGATTTTTGTGGAGAAATCTCGCTGTTGTGAAGATTGATGGAAATACTTGAGATCTACAAGTGCTTCCTATCAAAATATTAAATAGAAGTCTAAACACATGTCGTAAAGGACAATGCCAAGGCTGGAAAACCATAATTCAAATATCTTTTATTGGATGGGGTGGGCAGAGATGTAGGTGCAGGAACAAACCTCAACCAGAACCCACTAAAACCAGCTATGATGCAACAATAAGGCATTTCGCTCGCAACGAAGTTATATTTATAATGAAAAACCATAATTTAGCTCCATGATATTACAGGTCATGACTATTTGGCTAGAACCAGTTTCTGTCATGAGATGAAATTCAAAGAAAATAGGCAATGATAAAAAGTTATAAATTAAAATGAAAATACTGAAACCTACAATAGTAGAGTGAATGGAGTAAAGAAACGCAATTAAGATTTACCTCAGCCTCAGCTGTCTGCAGGTTCGAATTTCTTATTTCAAACATTCTTTTGTACCAAAAACCCTTCTTCAGCAGTAGATTTACTTGTTGCTTTAGTGAACTGCATTGGTTGCTCAAGGCCCTTAACCTGGGCATATAACAAAAGGAATTTCTTAAAAAAAAGAAAACAAAAGAACACAAATGAAACCATTTCAACTAAGATGACACATTCCACAAGCTATATACACAAAATGAACCTTAACTACCCTGATAGCATGGACATGAATAGTATAGAATTATTGACACTGTTGCCTATAGATTCATTGATTTCTGCTTATAGATTTATTGTTACTACTGCCTATGGATTTATTGATCTTGAGATTTATCGTACTGCTTTCCTCGTTTGATTTCATTGAATAAATAGTATTGATTAGACCGCATTGATTTGATTTGATAGCGATTGATTTGACGGATTGATTGATTTCCTATTGCGTACGAATTTCTTTGAGATTGACATGGATTTATTGAGTTGATTTATCGATTCGCTTGCTGCTGCATTGACTGGCTTTATTGACTATTGAATTTTCGTACTGCATAGACTCATTGACCATTGACTGATTCAGATTGATAGATTGACATGCATATTGATAGCATCGCCGTGCTTTGATTTCAGTTGTAGGCTTTGGTGACCTGCTGGGCTTTGTAAAGCTCATTATATGTGGTTGATAATTTCAGGTCCGAGCAAGGCAACTGGAATGGAGTTCGATCAGAATGTCAGACGAATCCTTTCACTATGGATGCCTGGGGCGTCACAGTTGGTATCAGAGCAAGTGTAGTGAAAGGATTTGATTGATAGTTTGATAGAATGGATTGTTTCAAGTGTATCGTTTTGCATACATATTGAATGACATGTGATTGACTGGATTGTGTGATTTGTATGGATTTCAACGAGTTTTGATTTTGATTCGATTCGATTCGATTTGAGTTTTGATTGGACGGATTTGCTTTGTATCGATTTTGCATTCGATCCCTTAAGGGAAATGTCGAGGACGACATTTTTTTTTAGGTGGGTAGATTGTAAAATCCTTAAAAAGCTGATTTTTTTGTGCTGTTAGTCCCGTACGATCTGACTTTAGTACTGGACGAACTGAAGAAATTTGTGAAGAAATCTGCCATTTTCGTCTGTACGAACCTGGAGCAGTCGGGACGATCCGTCTGTACGAAATCTGTCCAGAGAGCTAGTCGCCCGGGACGAATTTGGATTTCGTCTGTACGAAATTTGTCCAGAGAACCCATCGTACCAGGACGAAATTTGGATCGTCCAGGACGATCAGTGTTAATAAATATCGGATTTTAGATATTTTGGATTCATTTTGGAGAGAGAGAAAAGGCAAGAGAGAGAAAGAGAAGGAAGAGAAGAAGGAAGCTTGGTTTTGGAGGCCACGGAGCGCTTTTCGTCCGACGACGCTGTTAGAAGATTTGTTTGTCTCGCTGTAAGGACTCCGAACCCTATTTCTGTTTTCGAAGATTTTGTATTTTGATCGAGTTGTGCACTGTTTTGTGTTTTTGTAGTCGAACTTTTGACCTGATTTTGTATTGACACGACTTTCACCGCACAACTTTTAGTATGTTATAGATATGAATATTGTACACGATTTGAGTATTTTCTGCGATGATTTTACCGGTCGGAATTGATTCTACGCGATTTTAATTGAATAGAAAAATATCAGGACGTGATTTGATTTGGATTCTATAGAATAATAGTCTTATATTGATGTCGTGAATGTTCTACTGTAATTTGGAAGAATTTGGAACTTGTGCCTTTTTGCAGGATTTTTGTGTAAATTTGACCGACTGTCGTTACTCTGCCCGATTTTCGTACGATTTCTGATTTTCCCGAAATTGATAGATTAGATTGATATGCTTATGATTATTGATATAATTGCTATAGATTGCTTTAATATTGATTATTGAATTGATTATTGATTGATTATTGATACTGGAACACACGTATAACCTGGTTGAACATTGGTTGAAGATTGATATTGATACCTGTACAGGATGGTGGGCCGACGGGCTTTCCTTTAAACCATTGATCATTGATATAACGATTGGGAGTCATAAGGAGTTTATAAAAATGCCGACGGGCGAAAAGAGTGACGACTCTTATTGATAGAACCAATGTATGGATATCTACAACAGCAATATGGATTCTACAACAGCAACATAGCCAGTTGATTGTACTTGTCCAGTATATAGTATTGAATTGCATGTTTACTGTATTGATTTATGGATTCATTGTTTTATAGATTCCTGCTTTATCGACTTTGATTGGATTTACTAGATCGTACGATTTCATTGATTTCACTGATTGATTGCTGTGCATCGACATTGAGCATTGATATAGAAATGGATGGATATATATATTGTATTGATAGCATGGACATGAATAGTATAGAACTATTGACATTGTTGCCTATAGATTCATTGATTTCTGCTTATAGATTTATTGTTACTACTGCCTATGGATTTATTGATCTTGAGATTTATCGTACTGCTTTCCTCGTTTGATTTCATTGAATAAATAGTATTGATTAGACCGCATTGATTTGATTTGATAGCGATTGATTTGACGGATTGATTGATTTCCTATTGCGTACGGATTTCTTTGAGATTGACATGGATTTATTGAGTTGATTTATCGATTCGCTTGCTGCTGCATTGACTGGCTTTATTGACTATTGAATTTTCGTACTGCATAGACTCATTGACCATTGACTGATTCAGATTGATAGATTGACATGCATATTGATAGCATCGCCGTGCTTTGATTTCAGTTGTAGGCTTTGGTGACCTGCTGGGCTTTGTAAAGCTCATTATATGTGGTTGATATTTTCAGGTCCGAGCAAGGCAACTGGAATGGAGTTCGATCAGAATGTCAGACGAATCCTTTCACTATGGATGCCTGGGGCGTCACAATTGGTATCAGAGCAAGTGTAGTGAAAGGATTTGATTGATAGTTTGGTAGAATGGATTGTTTCACGTGCATCATTTTGCATACTAGTGAATGACATGTGATTGAATGCATTGAATGACTGTATGGATTTCAACGAGTTTTGATTTTGATTCGATTCGATTCGATTTGAGTTTTGATTGGACGGATTTGCTTTGTATCGATTTTGCATTCGATCCCTTAAGGGAAATGTCGAGGACGACATTTTTTTTTTAGGTGGGTAGATTGTAAAACCCTTCAAAAAGCTGATTTTTTTTTAGTGCAGTTCGTCTGTACGAACTGGATTTAGTACTGGACGAACTGAAGAAATTTGTGAAGAAATCTGCCATTTTCGTCTGTACGAACCTGGAGCAGTCGGGACGATCCGTCTGTACGAAATCTGTCCAGAGAGCAAGTCGCCCGGGACGAATTTGGATTTCGTCTGTACGAAATTTGTCCAGAGAACCCATCGTACCAGGACGAAATTTGGATCGTCCAGGACGATCAGTGTTAATAAATATCGGATTTTAGATATTTTGGATTCATTTTGGAGAGAGAGAAAAGGCAGGAGAGAGAAAGAGAAGGAAAGAGAAGAGGAAGCTTGGTTTTGGAGCCCGTGGAGCGCTTTTCGTCCGACGACGCTGTTAGAAGATTTGTTTGTCTCGCTGTAAGGACTCCGAACCCTATTTCTGTTTTCGAAGATTTTGTATTTTGATCGAGTTGTGCACTGTTTTGTGTTTTTGTAGTCGAACTTTTGACCTGATTTTGTATTGACACGACTTTCACCGCACAACTTTTAGTATGTTATAGATATGAATATTGTACACGATTTGACTATTTTCTACGATGATTTTATCGGTCGGAATTGATTCTACGCGATTTTAATTGAATAGAAAATTATCAGGACTTGATTTGATTTGGATTCTATAGATTGATAGTCTTGCATTGATGCCGTGGTTATTCTGTTGTAATTTGGAGAAATTCAGAATTTGTCTTTTTGCAGGATTTTTGTGTAAATTCGATAGACTACTGTTACTCTGCCCGATTTTTTTTGTATGATTCCTGATTTGACTGAAATTGATAGATTGAATCGATATGCCTATGATTATTGATATGATTGCTCTAATATTGATTATTGATTGCTTATTGATACTGAAACACGTATAACCTGGTTGAACATTGGTTGGAGATGATACCTGTACAGGATGGTGGGCCGACGGGCTTTCCTTTAAATCATAGATCATGGATCATGGATATAACGATGGGAGTCATAAGGAGATTATATGCCGACGGGCGGCCGACGGGCAATAGAGTGACGACTCTTTTCATAGAACCAATGTATTGATATCTACAACAGCAATATGAATTCTACAACAGCAACATGACCATTGATTATACATTGTTCAGTATTATCGTATTGATTGCATGTTTAATGTATTGATTTACGGATTTTACGGATTTGATCGGGTTTACTGTATCGTACGATTTCACTGATTTCATCGATTGACTACTGAACATTGATACTACTGAGCATTGATATGGACATTGATAGATATAGATACTGTATTGATAGCATGAACATGGACATCGTACTACTGCCTACTGTTTCTGTACCGTATTGACTGTCGTATAGATTCATTGTTCCGTATTGCTTTTCTCGACTGATTTCATTGATTTGACCGTATTGATTTGATTGACGGATATTGATTGATTGAATTGAAATGATTGATTTGCCTGCCGCTGCATTGACTGGTTTTATTGACTATTGATTTTCGGATTTCATCGACTACTGATTTGTTTCGTACTGCATAGACTCATTGACCATTGACTGATTCAGATTGATAGATTGACATGCATATTGATAGCATCGCCGTGCTTTGATTTCAGTTGTAGGTATTAGGTGACCTGCTGGGCTTTGTAAAGCTCATTATATGTGGTTGATATTTTCAGGTCAGGGCTCGGGAGCAGGAGATAGGAATTGATCCAGATCTTCAGGTTTTTGTCTTTTGATCGATAGATGATTCTTTTGTACTCAGGACAAGATAGATTTCTCTACTTGTATTGATAGTTTAGTTCCTGAGTATTGTATATGATGTTTTGAGATATGAATCGACTTGAATATTGATGTTTAAATTTTATAGATGTTTGATAGATTGCT